AGTATTTGCTAAATATCTGACCTTAACATCACTCACCACATTGCTTTCTGCTGAAGATCCTAAGCGAACGAAGAGCATGCTTTTGTTTAATGTTTTTTTTAAATATTTTTTTATTGATTTTTTTTACAGAGAGGAAGGGAGAGGGATAGAGAGTTAGAAACATCGATGAGAGAGAAACATCGACCAGCTGCCTCCTGCACACCCCACACTGGGGATGTGCCCGCAACCAAGGTACATGCCCCCAACCGGAATCGAACCCGGGACCCTTCAGTCCGCAGGCCGACGCCCTATCCACTCAGCCAAACCGGTTTGGCTTGTTTAATGTTTTGACAACCTTGGAGTATACACATGCCTGGTGAATCAGCTGGCCCCTAAGTCCTTTCAGATGTTGGCAACACGCTATAGTATATGTCGCAATGACCTGCCTTCTCACTATGGGGCTGTAAAACTGTTCATGCTAGGAACCCCAGAATGGCCAAGGAACAGATGGAAACTAAGAATCACCTCGTAGGGCCTTGGGCACTTGCCGGTACTCTTGAGAAAGGGAAGGATGTCCCTCTCCCATAGCATCCCAACCCCTCTTCTTGGCTGCTTCCTCTAGAACCCTAATGAGAAAAAGGGAAGCGGTGAGGGGTAGTGATGCTGTGGGCCTGGCAAACCCATGGTCAGAAAGAGCAGATCCAACGGGGGTGCCAATGGAATGCCTTGCCATCAACAAAGCCCTTTGTTAACGATGAGTCTAGGACAACAGAAAGTGCTTGTACGGTAACTGAAAAAGGTTACAAAACAGGTTGTTGTTGTTAAGACTCACCAGAGGATATTTTTCCATTTTAGAGAGAGTGGAAGGGAGGGGGAGAGACAGAGAGAGAGAAAAACATGGATGTGAGAGAGACACATTGATTGGTTGCCCCCTCACACATGCCCCAGTTAAGGCCAGGGATTGAGCCTGTAACCAAGATACATGCCCTTGTTTGGAATTGAACCCAAGACCCTTCAGTCCACAGGCCGACATTCTATCCACTAAACCCATGGTCAGCAAACTGCGGCTCGAGAGCCACATGCTGCTCTTTGGCCCCTTGAGTGTGGCTCTTCCTAAGCCTTAGGAGCACCCTAATTAAGTTAATAACAATGTACCTACCTATATAGTTTAAGTTTAAAAAATTTGGCTCTCAAAAGAAATTTCAATCATTGTACTGTTGATATTTGGCTCTGTTGACTGAGTTTGCCAACCACTGCACTAAACCACACTGGCCAGGACCAGGTTACAAAATTTTAAATACACATACTTACACACACACACACACACACACATATAATCTCAGTTGAGTAAAAAGCATAAAGGCAATTCACCAAAATGTTGGTTGTCATGTAGGAGATTCTAGGTGTGGACGAAAGGGGCCACACGCTGACCTGACAAGCTCGGGGAAGGCCTGCGTGGCAGCCTAGCAGACTCAGAGACCTAAAATAACCACAAAGGATGGTCTGAAATTAAACTTTAACTAAAAGCAGTGATGGTGGGCAGTTTCGTCCTAGGCCAGTATCTTCACTGACAAGATCAACTTTGATCCTTACTGAGTCCATTTGCCTTTTTGCCTCTAAGATAACATCCCCTTGAAATGTCTGGGTAACTTGTGACTTCCCTTTTTCTGGAGCCCCTGGGGCACAACCAAAAGTGCTGGGCGCCAGGACAGATACTACAAAGTCCTTCATTATCATGTTAATTGATCCTGCACTCATCTAGGTATGTGTCCATCATTTTACTTTTTATCCTATCACAGAGGTCCCCCCCCCCTCGCTTAATCCCACCTCCTTAAATCTGTCCCCAATGAATTTCATGTATAAATACAGATGTAACCTGCCCTTCTCCAGAGCACTATCTCAATTCGTTGAGGTTCTGCTTCCCGGCATATGTCGACAGTTTGGCTCAAATAAACTCACAAAAATTCTTTACAGGTTTCAATGGTTTTTTTTTTACGTTAACATAGGTAATCTTCTTTCTATTTTTCTATTACTTTTCCAACTTTTTATCATTTGGATGGCCTATCATTTGGTATCTGAGAATCTTACATAACATGTAAAAATCAGTTCATGAAAATTTGGCAAAGCCTTCGGCGATGTCGCTCAGTGGTTAGATCGTCAGCCCTCTCACCTAAAGCTTGCGGGTTTGATTTCTAGGCAAGGGCATGGACCTAGGTTGCAGGTTCGATCCCCAGTCCTGGGCCTGGTCCAGGCTGCAGGAGGCAACCAGTTGACATGTCTCTCTCATCTCTCTCTCTCCCCTTCACTCTCTCTAAAAATCAATGAAAGAACTATTATCAGGTGAGAATTAACAACAACAAAAATTTGGCAAATTTCAGTTTTTAGCCAAAGGGAAATATGAATGTTCAGCTTTCAAAACAAACAACGACCTGTCTTACGGAAGACTTTGACCATTGCCCACGTGCTGAAGGCTGACAATTAGTAACTAGGACGAAGGCTTCCTTCCCAGTGTGGATGTGAGCAGCCTGCCCCAGAGCCCTTTCTCTGGGTCAAATCATTCCTTTTTTCTATGAAATACTCAATCAATCATGAATGCTTGGGCAGGTGAAGAGGGGGAGGTGTAAAGAGAGTAAAATTGTTGGAAATCAGTAAAGTCAACAAACTACTGGCCAGGCTTTGAAAGCCTGAACTGCCTGTACTTGGACTAAATAGTGTTTGTTTCACCCTCAGGGCACCGCCCTGGGGAAAACCTCAAGCACACCCTTGAATGAAGAGTTTAGGCCTGAAGGGTATCAATATGGAAGGAGCAATTTCCCTCACCGCAGCCCAGAACAGAACCTCAAGGCCTGAGGGTGTGACTTTAGGGGAAGTGCTGAGTGGAGTTTGAAATAAGGTTCCAGCACGGCTGCCCTGATCGCCCGCTCAGAAGCCTGGGAGAAATCGGTAAGGTTCTTTTCATTCACCTGCGCCTCTAGGCCTTAGTGCCTGGAGAAACCCAAGCTCTCAGCTGGGGGCCCGGGGATCTGGGAGAAATCGGTAAGGTTCTTTTCATTCACCTGCGCCTCTAGGCCTTAGTGCCTGGAGAAACCCAAGCTCTCAGCTGGGGGCCCGGGGATCTGGGAGAAATCGGTAAGGTTCTTTTCATTCACCTGCGCCTCTAGGCCTTAGTGCCTGGAGAAACCCAAGCTCTCAGCTGGGGGCCCGGGGGAAGGTGACCTGATCCCCTACACCAGCCGCAGAGCTGCAGGTGCTCACGCAGCAGGGATCTGAGGCTGGATTAATGTTCCTGGGCCAGGACGGAAAGACGTGGGACCAGGCCCCTGGATGCAAAGGGGGAGTGCCTGGGAGGTCACACCGGGAATACTTCTTTTGGAATCCCTTGTCAGGGCTGCGGCTTTTCTTTCTTTCTTTCTTTCTTTTTTGGTTAATCCTCACCTGAGGATATTTTTCCATTGATTTTTAGAGAGAGCGGAAGGGAGGAGGAGAGACAGAGAGAAAAACATGGATGTGAAAGAGGCACATCGATTGCTTGCCTCTCGCAACCTAAGACCCACGTACGTGACCTTGACCTGGAATCGAACCTGCGACCCTTCAGTCCATAGGACGAGGCTCTATCCACAGGGCTGTGACGTTTCTCCTGGAGAGTGGAGGCAAATAATGTGGACGCGCTGGCTTCCAGCCCACCCAGACCTCTCACCACTCACCACACGGGCAGGAACTACCAGGTGGAAGTCTTTTTCATTTGCTTCTGGCTGGGAATGGGGGGCGGGAGCAATACCTGGGAACGCCAACAACACAGCAGGGAAGGCTTGTGGGTTCCCATAGAACACGGGGGTCAGGAGGATACACGGCGGAGAGAAATGAGGGCAAGAGAAGAGACGGCCTTAAACTTGTCCAGTTACCCAAACGGAGGGGTAGCAGACAGCTGGGTTCGCCAAGAGGGGCCGATGCCGGCGAGCAGGGACCCTGGAAGCGGGAGCTCAGCGTGGAGAACCTAATCCCAGCTCTGCACCTGCCCCGCGGCTGCGGATCACTCAGCCTCTCGGCGCCGCGCCCGCGCGGGGTGGCTCCGCTCTGCACCCCGGGCGGCGGGAGAGGCGGCCCCAGGGCTCCGCGGGCATCCAGGGAGGGGGTGCATCCAGGGGTGGGTACCTTGGTGCCCTGCAGGAAGTCATCGACGGCCCTCGTGCCCATGAACGGGAACTGCATGTGCGTGTGGGTGTCGATGCCGCCGGGCAGGACCAGCTTGTCCGCGGCGTCCAGGACCCGCAGCCCCGCGGGCGCGCCCCCGGGCGGCAGCAGGTCGCGCCCCAGCGCCCGCACCACGCCGTCCTCCACCAGCACGTACGCCACCTGCGAGGAGTCGGCGTTGACCACGCGACCCCCGCGGATCAGGAGCCTGGACGGCGCTGCCATGGCACGGCTGGATGGGCGACCTCCTTGGAGATACCCAAGGCCTGGCTCCGGTCTCCGGCTCGGGCTACAAACAAGGGGCGAGTCCGGAGTCCCGGAGACCGGGCGGGCTTATCAACCCCGGCCTCCGGACGTGGGCTCCACCCCCAGGGCCGCGGGGCTGGCCCCAAAGGCTGGGACCCAACAGGAGATCTACACAGTTCAATGCAACACCCACCCCGAGCTGGAGAGAACCACTGGGCCTGGATTTCCTTTTAAATATTCGTTAGCAAGTCGCCACACAGCCCCAGTAATTGGCAGACGGAGAGTTCAGAGGGAAAGTATTTAATCTATTTGAATCAAGAACAACTTGATGTCAACTATTCTCCAAGTTTGAATGACGCAATTCATACCGGCAAGTTTTTCTTGGAAAATAACAGGTAATATAACTCCAAAGATCTAGGTGTGTTTTGTTTTGTTTTCTCCCAGCTTTCCACAAAATGATCTTAGAAGCCTTCAGTTAAATCTTTTTTCCCCTCTTGGTATAAAAAATCCTCATATATAAAATTGAGATAATATTTGTCCTTCCCCTCCAGGTGTGTGTTGAGAAGCAAATATGCTGACCAACGTGAATGCACCTTAATAGAAGGGGAAGCACCATACACACGTGCTTAACAAATACCAGCTTTGTAAGGACTGACCCCGAAGGGGGGTTGCATAGAGGAGTAAGCGGTAAAGATAAGTCACATTCTGCCTGGCCAGGGTGGCTCAGTGGTTGAGTATCAATCTATGAACCAGGAAGTCACGGTTCAATTCCCAGTGAGGACACATGCCAGGGTTTCGGCTCAGTCCCGGGTGGGAGGCATGCAGGAGGTGGCCAATCAATGATTCTCTCTCATCATTGATGTTTCCCTCTCTCTGTCCCTCTCCCTTCCTCTCTGAAATCAATAAAAAAAAATATATTTTTTTAAAAAAAGATAAGTCACATTCTGAGCTCAAGGAGCTAAGAGCCAGTGTGATGCACATACGTATTTCACTACATAACAGAATATCTAAAGCGGAAAATTCTACCTTTGAGAGAGGACAATAAGAGTTTAGAGGAAAGGGAAAGTTTATTTCTGCCTTCAAGAAAATTAAATATGGAAGTTTCACAAAGAGCTATTTGAGCCAGAATATAAAGGACATGAACATATGGAAATGAGACTGGGAGAGGAATGGTGTTCTAGGTTGAGGGAACAGAGTAGGGAGAGGCACAGAGGAGGTGATGAGTTGAGTCTGAACTCCATGAGGTTAAGCAAGGGGGATAGGGTTGGACAACGGTGGACCATCCCTTTCCAGCGCTCAGGAAGATGGGACAGCACTGCGTAGGGAAGGCAGGGATGCAGATTTTCAAGGGCGCCATGACCAAATTCGGTAGAAAGATTGGAACATGGTGGACATCTGCAGTTCCAGCATCTATTCTTGTCCGTACCCTGCTAACAGTCCCTGAGTGTCTTTGGTGGGAAATCCTCCAACCGCATTCTCAGAACACTTGCCTTGATTGTACTGATGGGAGCACTGGCTCTGGGATTGACCTGCTCAACTAAACTCTGCCAATCACAATAGGAAATCCTCGCAGCCACACCCATGGGTGTGGGTACCTGTCCCAAGCAGACTGTGCCCAGTGAGAACAGACCCTATGACTTCTGAAAGGCTGGGCGGCTCAGTTTGTTCTTTCCTGCTGGATTTGCATCGGGGAGGGTGCAAGCAAGAGGCTCAGGCAGCTGCCTAGACAACACAGGGAGACAGTGCTTCTGTGAACAGAGCCAACACAGAGAACAGGTGGAGAGGCGGAAAGAGACTGGGTTCTCCCCACATTGTGGGAGCTCCTGACCACCGGGCCTGAAGTTCCCGCCCCTAGTGCTGCCACTGTTTGCTGCAGCTGGTTTACTTTGGATCTTTTGTCATTGTCAACTGTCAGCTGACCGGCTGGGAAGATACCTTTGAGTCTGGAGACTAGGTGGTCACATGTGACCTTGAGAGAGCATTTTCAATATTATTGCCAAATTTCCTCAAGCTTCACCTTGCACAAACCTCACAATGATTAGACATCAGAAAGCACCAATAATTTCAAGTTCCACAGATTTTTCTGTCAAGCCAAGAAAAAGAAACCCAAAAATTTAGTTGTGAAATTATTGTCAAAAGACCACTGTGGAACGGTGAAAGGAGTAATTATAAATATGATGAAACTCCTACAAGCTCTACAAGTCTGCACCATCCCAGAAAAATAAGATTGGATGTCAGGATGGTTGTGACATCCTCTCTGAATGTCCAGTTGAATGATTTCAAAGGTTTCTTTATCTTAGACTTGATATGAAATGCCCTGGGACACAGCACAAAACTTCCCACGTTTAAGAAACTCCAACTTGGATCAGAAAAGGGGGTTTGTAGAAATGTCACCAAAGCAGGAGGAAATGGCTCATTGGGATTCGCTAACTGCCACGGAAGAGAGGGTGGGTCAGTTTAAGGAGAAATGTAGGCTGGCAGAAGGGGTCGTGCCCCTTTCTGGCCATTACTGTCCCACACCAGGGGGAAGGTCGTGCCTGGGCAAACGTGCTTAGAGGGGAAGTGTGTCCTCAGAACACCCTCACCTCCCTTTTCTTTACGCTACTCGTTACCAGACACCCAGGACCCTCAATGGGTAGGAAACAAGTACTAGGGAGAGTTGGTGTTGGCATGGGGTGAAGATGGGAAGCAAGACTCCTGCTGTTTTGCCTTCTTCTTGCTGGTGAAACAATCAGTTTGATTGATTGAGCAAAGTCTGTCTGAGAACATATTACATGAGTCACCCCACTTTCCATGGGAGATATGCTTCAAGACCCCCAGTGAATGCCTGAAACCACAGATAGTACCGAACCCAGGGCAGAGTGAGAGAGCAAGATTTCATCACTCTACTCGGAAGGGCATGAAGTTTAAAACTTATGAGTTGTGTATTTTTTTATTTAAAAAAATATATTTTTTAGTTGTTTAAAGTATTACATATATCTTCTTTTCCCCCCAATGGACCTCTTCCCGGTCGATCCCACCCCGACCCCACCCCCAGCACATGCCCTCTCCCCGCTGTCTGTCTGTCTTCATGGGTTATGCTTAAATGCATGCATACAAGTCCTTTGGTTGATCTCTCATCTCCTCCCCTCTCCTCCTCTCCCCCTCTCCCCTTCTCAAGCATCAAAGACAGATAAGTGCATCATATTCATCTCTGATGACCTGTCACAGTTAGTAAGAAGCGCTCACTAACTTCATTTTCAGCTTGTCAAATTACAGTATGGGACTCCACGTTTTTAAGCGTTTTGTTCATATTAATAAGAACACAGATTCAGTCTCATTTACTATTTAATTTGCAGTTTTGCTTTCAGAGAAGTTCATTCGAGTGTTATAAAAAAACAAGTATTGTTCTGCAAAATAAATGTGATGCTGAAATAAACCACTAGATGGCTTCTTGAAATGACCAACTATTCCTTTGGTTTGCTCAGCAATTTGCTATACAAATATGGTGACCACTCCTGGCGACCTTATCTCTATTGATATATGGCTATTATCATTTCCTTTTAAAGTTGGAGAGGAAAATAGCTTATTTGTTTATTTGAATATGACTAATGCATCCTTTTGTGGACATTGTGTAATGTGCACATAGTGTAATGTGCACATACAATTTCATGTAATTATGACTTTCTAGATTTATAAAACGTATTATTTACATTAAAGAAAATTTCACATTATAATTTAAAGGACATGCGACTCGAGCATAATTATTGAACCTATAGTAGTCCCTCCATGAATATTCATAGAAGAATTAGTTGTTGAATTTGGATACACCTGGCACTGGGCTAAGGCCAGTTGTTACATCTGTACAAAAACTCAACGAGGGAAGTATTGCTTCCATTTTTTAAAAATTATGGCCCAGAAATATTAATTGCTCAGGTAACATAGTCGATCAGATCAGATTATACTGCTACATAGATGAAGACAGTATGTCCCACCTTTAATTTGTCAAAACAACCGCTATTCTCCTAAACAATGAGCAGTAATGGCTTCAGTCCAAATTTAAAAGCAAGCAGAAAAAAGGTGGTATCACCTGTGCTTTTGTTCTCTCATCTTTGAGAGCTTATTGAGATAGAACTTGTATATCACAAGTTCATCTATTTGTACAGTTTAATGGTTTTTAATCTACTTACCAAGTTTTACAATGTTCATCAACCTACAAAGAAACCTGGACCCATTAGCAGTCACTCACCACCACCTTTCCCTGCCCACCTAGTTCCTAGCTCTAGGCATTCATTCATCTACTTTCTATTTCTAGCTTTGAGTATTCAGGACATTTCATATAAATAAAATCATACAATATATGGTCTTTTGTGAATGGCTTCTTTCATTTAGTATAATGTTCTCAAAGTTCATTTATGTTGTAGTATGTTTTTGCATGTCATTTCTTGTAATTGCCAAGTAACATTTCATTGTATGGCTATATCACATTCTGTTTATCCATTTATCAAACATACATTTGGGTTGTTTTCCTTCATGGCTGTTATCAATAATGCTGCTATGAACACTCATGTACACATTTTGTGTGGACATGTTTTCATTTCTTTTGGGCATATACCTAGGAGAGGAATTTTTGGGTCTGTGTGGTAACTTACTTTTGAAGCACTGCGATACTGCTTTCCACAGCAGCTGCACAGCTGTGCATGCCCACCAGCAGTGGGTGAGGGTTCCAGTTTTTTCACATCCTTGTCAACACTTGCTATTGCCTTAGTACAGCCCTCCTAGTGAGTATGAAGTGGTTGTTTTCTAATCTTTTTATGCTATGAAAAAATAAAACACATTATTCCAAAATAAAACAGAAATCCTTATACCATGTGGCTGTAAATAAAAACACACCCTTAAATATAAAGTAAGATCTATTCTTCTCCATGTGAAAATATAATACGTTAAAAATGTAGTTCAAGTTCCAAGAGTTATCCTGCTTCGTCTCAGCGACAATGCTCTTAGTGGTCTTATATTCTGATATTTGAGGGTGACACCTACCTCGGAGATTTCTCGTGAGGATTAGAAAGGAAGTACATACGGGCATCTAGTACCATGGTTGGTACTCAGCACTAATAAATTTTCATTCCAAATTAAGAAAACGGGACAAAGCACTGTTTTTGCACACGTGGCTAGTGACTCTAATGGTAACACATGAGCTAGAGAAGTGGAAATCTTGTTCCAAATTTAACGATGAAATCTCAATAAAAACATAGCAAGCATGCACACACAATCCAACCAAAGGAAACTAATAGACTCACGATGAGGTTAAAATTCACGTGATGCACAATAACAAATACAAAATCTGTACTTACGGGAAGGCAAACTATGGAACATTACATCTAAAAGCCAATTAGATAAGGCATTTCTATGTTCCTTGAAATCAGAGCTCGGTTGATAAGATAGAAATGTAAATAAATATTCAGGTAACACTTGATCCTACTGCATTGAAATTGGGAAAAGTTTAATAGTTTTGTTTGTTTTTTAAATCATAATTTCTAAATATAAATGACTTTTCTGCATTTCTGCTATTTGTAGTGCTCAACACACATCACTAAGTTCATAGCATGCAGCCACCTCTGTTCTGTTCTGGGCTCTATAGAAGTTCTTCACTTGGGCTTTTTAATAATAAAATAAAGAGGTCTGTGCCAGGATACCACTCTGCCTTTGTTTACTGAGTCTCCTTCTCATTGAGACACAGCCATAATCAAGAAAATGAGCCGACTGCTATAAGAAATCTTCTCTTTCAGAAAGCTCCCCTAAGATACAAAAGAATTATTTGGTCCTTTCCAAAATGCCCATGAACACATTTGGCCTATGCCAAATATATCAAAAGCATAATACACATGGCCAAGTAGAGTTTATTTCAGGAATGCAATGGTTCAAAATGACAAAAATATGAATATATTAATAACACATTAAAAGATCAAAGGAGAAAAATCGTACGATCAACTCCATAGATAATGAAAAGGCATGTGATAAAATTCAACATGCATTCTTGGTTAAATTTAAAAAAAGAATGGGGTTAATGGATGTGCCTTAACATGATTAAATGTATCTATTTCAACCCAATTCGTTATAGCCAATATGTACAACATTATTTTGAATGTACTAGACAATGCAATTAATTGAGACAAAGAGTTTTGCAAATTGGAGGACATGATTGTGTAACTAGAAAACACACAAAAATGAACTGAAATACTATTATAAATTACAAGAAAATGGGAGTTTAGTAGGTGGGTAGAAAATTAACATAAATAATTAGCCTTCATATATACCAAAATCAGACTAAATTATAAACAGAAAGTACTTCCTTAATAACATAATGATGAAATTCTAAGAATAAACTCAAAAAATGTACAAGATAGCTGTAAAGTAAAATGTAAGACATATCTGAAGTAACAAAAGACTTAAAACAAATGGGCACCTTTGTAAGATATGGCACCGCGATTTAGACAGATTTAACATAATTATGTCAAATTTCACTAATCTATAAAAAAAAAACTGTCTAAAAAATACAAGTACCAATGGATTTGTTTTGTGGAACTCAGCAAGTTGATTCTATCAAGTTAAGATGAAAAATAAGCAAGAATATTTGAAACACATAAAATTACAGTTATTAAAACAGTGTAGGACTGGACCAAAATAGAAAGGCAGATCAACTGAAGGGAATAGAATTTGAGTCTAAAAGCATAGTCAAATAATGTGGAAATTTACTATAAGATAAAAGGGTCATTTCAAAAAGTAAAGAAAGGATGAATTTATTTGATAAACAGCTTTGGGATAACTAGGATAACTTGGGGGGAAAAGGAAGTGATTTAAATTCAGGCTGATCAATGATTTCAAGTGAAAAAATCAAATAATTGAAATACCTAACTTTACTTTTAATATTAAAATTTTAATGACCTGGCCAGGGTGGTTCAGTTGGCTGGAGCAGTCCCATACACGGAAAGGTCTCGGATTCAATTGTGGTCAGGGCACATACCTGGGTTGCAGGTACAATCCCTAATGAGGGCACATATAGGAGGCAACGACTGTATGTTTCACTCTCTTATTCATGTTTCTCTCTCTCCCTAAATCAATAAAAGCATATCTTTGTCCTCAGGTAAGGATTTAAAAAAAGGAAACAAAAACCCTTAACTCTAATAGATACATATTTTTGAAAAAAATTTAAAGAAAAAGTATGCATAATAGAAGACAATTTGGTATATTATGAAGTAGAGGCCGGATGCACGACATTCGCGCAAGAGTAGGCCTTCCTTCCTCAGGCTGCTGGCACCAGCTTCCCTCTGGCACCTGGGACCTGGGCTGCTCTCGCAGCCCCAGCTTCGTCTGCAAGGTCATCTGAAAGGACATCCGGAAGGATGTCCAGTCTAATTAGCATATTATTACGCTTTTATTATTATTGATTACATATATCATTTATATATGGATATATTAATGTATCTATACGGTATTTTGGAAGGATATAGAAGAATCTGGTATTGGTATCTATCTCTCTGAAAGGGAACTAACAGATGGATGTCAGGTAGGAGAGAGACTTAGGTTTTACTGTTTGACCCAGAAAGATTTATTAGTTAAGAAAAAATTTAAAACCTGTGCTAGGAAACAAACCCAAAAACCCCTATGCATGGCAATATATTCTATAGGGGGTCTGAAATACATCCAAACAGAATATAAAGAGAACTGACTGGGTTACTGCATTGATTGACGATACATCAACCAGAGGTAGTTTTTCCAAGGCAAGTAACATTCAGGTCCGCAGGGAGTCTCATCCCCCAGTGCTGGTATAAGCAACAACTTTACTAAAAAGTAGTTAACGAAGAACTCCCCAAACCTATGTTGTTTCTTCTTGAGAGACATGCTACATACTTTAAGGCCTGAATTTGTATATGCACCAAAATGAAACAAAAATAAAGAGCAATTTAGATTTAAAAAGTACCCCAAAGCAATACAAAAAAAGTCTTTTTAATTTTGATACATATTAAAACATTTCAGTCAGTTTCTCCCGACAGCATAACACGACAAATACACAAGACCTCAAACATGCTTTAAAATGACATTCAGCAAAGTATTTAAAACTTAATAAATAGCAATAATCACACACAAATACATATTTCATAATCATTAAGCTACGAAAACAGACAGCTAAAGAATAAATAAACAGGAATTGACAATAAAAATAATATGTGGGGTTTGCAAATCACTCTACTTAAAATAGGGGCTGATCTAAATGATTTGATTTGTTTTTCAACATGTAGCATGATCCCCTTCAAGAATAAAATATATTGAAAAAGTCACTTTCTTATAATAATGCAGTCTTTAAATACAACAAATAAATATAAAACCAGCAAAGAAATTTCAATTTGTAATAAAAATGCCCCCTTCACCCCCCCAAAGCTATGGAAATATATAGTTATTGTGGTAGCAAATAATAGTATTTAAAGTGATAGTGCTTATGCACTAAACTCATCTGAGACCTTTATATGATTTTAGTGCAAATCCCTAGGGTCCAATACAAGCATAACCCTATACCAGGGAAAGACATTACCAGTTGGAACTTATCTTGTACAATTTTTGTATATATTTTATAAAGTTCAAGATTTAATGCATAGTAGAATATCTTCATCCGCTCAATCCTGTCCCTAAATAGAGATGAAAAAGAAATGACTTGTAATTTTACCATTTGGTTTAATACCATATTAGAGTATTAAAGTCAAGATTAGAAAACCTATAAAAGAGTTTCATTTTTGCCATTAGTTTACCTAACTTTATCTAAATTTAACATCACTGCATGTTCAACATAAGAGAAAATATTTTAGACAAAGATTTTTTTCCCTTTAACACGTTCTTATTATGATGAAATCCAATAATATTTGGACAAACGATATATAAATAAAAACACATGTGAGTATAAGGGTCCCCACCCTGCATTGAGAGTGCATTAACAACCTTGACTTCTAGTATATTAAGTTACAAGATGTATTGGCAAAAGCAGAAAGGGTTCAATTAAAATAAGATATTTTGTACAAATAATAGTTTTAACATAGAATAAACTGACATCAAATGAGTTTCAGCAGCCGTATTTCTAACATGAACTACAGTACCAGGATAAAAACAATGAGAAACAAATGGAAGAACATCATCGAACAATATGAATACATAATGCATGTTTAGCTGCTAAAATAGCAAACTCTAAAGTTACAAATTGTTTAATTTAACCATGCAGGCAAACATACAATAATAAGAAATCACCCTGCATCTTTTTTCTCTTTAAATTAATACTAGTTCAACTGTAAAGTTACAAAACAATGACTGGATATTGCTCCAACTTGTATATAATTTCCTTGATGTGATTCGTACCTAACAAAGTAACAAAGCCTCATCATCACTCGTTTCGTTTTTCAGTGTTGCCTCTAAGCACGTGTCCGGTATCTGGGCCGTGTGCACAATGCCACAGCGCTCACAGGGGCCGTCTCGACTGCCTGGCCTCGCGCCAGGGTTTGCTGCAGTATATGGTTGCCTGAAGCCTTGGCCTTGGTCTGAGGCAAGATCAAGAAGAGGTCTAGAGCAGTCGTTCACATCCGAGTCTGAAGCTCCATCAGAAACTGGAATTAGCATTTCCACATCATCATCTTCTTCTCTTCCACTGACCCCGTTATCAAGTTGTCTCAAAGGACTCTGGTTCTGATTGACGGAGCTTGACCGACCTAACGTAAAACGTACCCAACGTAGCCCCTGAGTCATCCGACTTAGTGCACTTGTGAGCTGGTGACGAGCTGGACTCACACTTGAGGGCTCCACACTGGTCACGTCCCTTCCATTATCGGAGTGGCCGCCCCGGGCACTCTGAGTGGAGGAACTTCCACCGGCTCCCACTGTTGCTTCTACAGCTGTGGTGGGAGGGACTTTCTGGGGCAGAGGAGCTGCAACCCCACCAGAGGCTCCGGCTGCATCTCTCCTCTCACTCTCTGTGTCTGTGTCGTCTGACTCCACGGAAAACAAACTTCTGTGAGTGTGATTCCTTTCAGGTTCTCTGCTGGTACCCTGACTAGGGACAACCTCGTCACCATCTGCTGAGACCAAAGCCAATGACCCTGAATGACGCGATCTTGCAAAGTTGAAAATGCGATTCCAAATGTTGCTGGATCTGCCTGCCATAGGAAGCCTGATGGAAGTAAATCCAAGCTGGGATCGTACAGCTAGCCTCAGGTTTTCCAGAACAGACGCCTACGAAAAGAAGAGATCTTTAAGAAAGCAAACAAGTACAAAGATTGAAAACACCCTTCTAGTAAGACTGTGCTGTGGCTGAAAACTCTCTTCCTCACTGCTAGGGTCTATGAAGGAAGAATAAAGTTTTCTTGACTACACAGGCTCAACTCACTATGGAACCTAATGTACAACTTGAACCATTGCTCACTGTGTAAGAGTCTCTTAACACTTCATTTTTTATATGCAACTTTAAGGTGATATTTCATATCAATTATAACAGCTACTTATTTAAGAACTTCACATAGTAATCCAATCCTAAAAGTGTACCAAAGTCAAAAGATAAAAATTGATACTCCTTTAGCTGGGAAGGTGGAAGAATCGCCACCATAATTCACTAAATGACCTAAAGCAGTGTGGAAACTAGGCCCATAGCTGTTCTGCATTTTTGTTGTTGTTTTTTGCTGTGGTTTGATTTTTAACACATAACAAATGAATTCTGAATTACAAAGTTGAGACTTTCCAAAACGTGGAAATTATATTTATAGTTGGTTCTCAAGGATTTGTTGTGTGCCTGGACACTGAGGACTTTTAAATAAAGGAACTAATATATCTGTTATACAGCACAGGAATAAATAAATAAATAAATAAATAAGTAAATAAATTTGTAATATGGCACAGGAAACAAAAAGCTAAAGAAATTCATTAATTAGTTAATAGCACTACACAAAGATATCTGAGACATTTGAATTCCCTCTTTCTCTTTAAAGATTAAGTTTTATTTTCCAGTTTAGCATTAAGTATTAAATTATATCCTTATTATTTGCAATTGGTGAT